AACCCTCTCTGTCATTCTTTCTCTGGCTTCAGCCTGCACTTACATAAGTAAGAAGCATCCCTACTGTAAAACCAGAGACTACAGTAAGATAAGCAGCTCCACTCCTTTTTGTGAGTCCTGTCTTGTTACCAATTATTTTGTCACTAGAATTACCTTTTTAAAAACAAAACAAACAAACAAAAAACAAAAACAACAACAAAAGAAAAACCACCCCACACAGAAAAAACAAAATACAAACCTCACATTCCTATATATGTCAGGCTGCCACGTGGTGATACATTATTCTGTCTCTCTTGTCGTTCCTCTGTTCCTCCAAGGTCACAATTAAAAACTGTAACCTGGTCTCATTCCTTCACAATTAAAAAGAACCAGAAGGTCAAATGGTGCGTTTTTGAGAATGTCAAAATGAAATGCAGTTTCAGAAAAGTGCAAGTTTATACACGAGGTGTGGTCTACTTCCAAGCAGAATTGGAAGAATTGTATCAGGACAGAAGACAAGAGTATCAAACAAGACTTGGATTATTTCTAGCTTTTTGAGGACAGGACAATCAAAAAAACATGTACAAAGCACATACAATAAACCATTCCACCATAAACAGCTTGTGCTATTAAAGTTCTCTCATTTTTCATTAAGTCCTGGGGTTTTCAAAGTTGAGATCAGCTGTTTGCGTGCTACTGATACACATGATACATGTCAACACATACCCCAAACAAACTCGCAATCATCCATGTTATATTATCTTATGGTTATGCTTTGGTATCAAATGAAATATGATATTGCCCAGATTTCAAGTTCAGAAACAGTTATTGCTGTTTTAATATTACTTTTCCAATTAAAGGGAGGAAGGTCAGACCAAAAAAAAAGCTTTGTTTGTGATATTGCTATGCACTTTGAGGCAGCCCACTACAGATATAGTGAGCCTCTGAATCAGTCTGCAGTACATTTAAAATGAAAGTAATGTCAGTAACAGCACTGACTCAGATCCATCTCATAAACCAAGATGTGAATGAGTGCAGAGGTTCAATGACTGAAAGCCAGAACCTTCATGATGGCAGCAGGCATAGGAAGGGGAAAGAAGACAGACTGCGCTTATTAAGAGGACTTTCAGCCAGGTCATCTCAGTAGAGGTTGAATGCAAAGACTTTTAAAGCAAGATAAATGAAAACCCACGGATCTTTTTTTTTTTTTTTTGCTTTTACCCAGGAACATGTCCTTCAGCCTTCAATCTGGGAGAGAAAGAGCAATTTTCAGAAGGCAGTAAACTCTTTGGAAAACAATTCTACACCATTACCTTCTAGCCAAAAGTCTCAGTCTTACATGCAAAAGCACAAAATACGTAGAGTGTTTCTAAACATGCCCAAAAAGCCTAACTCTGTTCTGGAAAGCGATGAATTCAACAACATTACCTTGCACAAACTCATTCACAAGTTTTGTTACTGGATGTTTTGCATGCCTGACTTATGCAGGGAAGCAGGTTGTAAGAAGAGTTTCCTTTTCCCACACAAGGGATATACTGTTATCAGAACCCTTGAAAGCATAAGCTGAATTTCGTCCAGGCACAAGCTTGGAAATGGTCAGACATTGTCCAGGTCACTGTAGATGACCATTACTAATGGACATCTAATGGTTTTAAAACCACCTACAAATTCACTGGAAGCTGAAGGATGGGGGCACTGAAGACAAATTCTGTAGAACATTTATTTTCCCTTGTTTCCCTCAAAACCCAACTTTACTCGGAAAAATTACAATGTCAGAAACACTTGTAGCAATCATGAGCTTCATGCTGACTACATTAGTGAGGATGCTTTTGCAGGTATCAGTGGTTCAAGTCTTCCACCAAGCCTGAAGCTGAATGCTTAGCTGCTCTTACTTCCAAACACAGTCTTTTCCTATTTGAAAACATGATGTGGCAAACTAACATCAAAATGTTTTCACTAAATTAATCAGAAGGAAGCTCATAAGTTCAATTCAGATATAAAAAATATTACATTAATTATTTAGATACTTAAATGAGAATGTGTACTTTCAAAACTCATGTCCCACAAATCATTTTGACATGTTTCTGCTCCCTTCCACAAGTGAAATGAAATGGCAAGGTCGTGGTTTAAAGTGATTTCAAGGCAAACAGCAAATTCCTGTCAAATCAGAGATTGTCTTAAAAAAATCTTAAGAAAAGGTTTGATAAAGAGATACTTGTACCTTATTATGGATTATACCATTTAAACAATTCCATTAAAGATTCTCACAATCATAACAAAAAAAACCCCATGCCTGAAGACATTCAGAAAAAACAGGAAATCCACAGGAATATTATTTCTAGTCCAAAATGCTGGCAGCTGAAATCTTGAGAGAATGCACAGTTAAATTTGCCTAAATGGCCTCCATTCAGGCTCTGAACCTAGAGAGGCCAAAGCCAGACAAACATACACTAATGAAAGCACAGGGTTTACAAACACACCATGGCACACAGAATTCCTCATGCCCGTCTTTCAGGGCACTCCTTACTTACCCCAGCAGCAGCCAGATGACACTTGTGTTTGCACAGGTTACTCATAGTTCTCCACCTTTCTTTGCTGCCATAATTTCCCAGCAGAACAAAATACCAAGGAGGTTTAGCTTTCTCCCTTATTCAGTTTCAGCCTTACCTAATAAATCATTATTCTCCAGTGCATTAATTCTTATTCTTCTTCTAATTGCATCCTACTCAGCCATATTTTTCTGACAGTGAGGGTTTCAAAGCTAGACAGGGTTAAGAACTACAGTCCCATTAAAAGCTTAGCTGTAGCTTCAATATTTTTCCCCTCTAAAACTTAACATGGGTAATAACATTGAAGAGAGCTCTAATCTGGATAAAGATGCCAACAGTTAATAGACATTACTAATGTATCATCTAAGTCTATTTAAAATATATCTGTAGAACAAAGGCATAGAAATGTTCCTGGAGAAAAGAATGTACTTGTACTTTTATTCCAGAGAACGACAAGAGTCAAGAAAGCTGGTTTATAGTTGGCAACTGTGAAAAAATGTTATAGAAACAACAGCTAGTGTAGAAAAAGCTGCTAGAAAAAGTGACTTCTGCAATGCAACATTTCCCTGCAGGCAGCTGTATTGCGTTTTCTTACTGTTAATCTTCAATGTAAAACCGAAACCGGTTTCAAACCTACAGGTTTCAAGAATACTCACTTTTGTCATGTTCCAGTCTTCTGGGTTACTTTACACAAGATGAAGATTCCCCATTCCCAATACAAATCTCATGTTCTTGCCTGTCTGTGTCAACACACTTTATAATACAGTTACTGCTGTTACTGCACTAATGTCTGCAGTGAATGGATGCTAATTCCTAGACCATATCTTTCTTTAATGAAGTGTATGTCATGTTTCTCTTAACCTTCTGAAGCCACATGTGTGTTTAAGCCTCTGTCATCCTCAGTGTCATTGACCTATTTATTTTCTTAAGGTCTTGTATTGTAAGAATGGGAATTTGGTTCCTTATCTCCTCCATTTTTCTCTTCTCTGACTCATCAGGCACCAGGGACTGGTGCAAAAATTCAGGAAAAGTAATGAGGTTTTAGAAGTGATATCAAGTACATCTCTTCCTGAGACTGACCTTCTCTACACCTCTGCAATGCCCTCAAAAGCGAGGAGGCAAGCTCAGAGTCAAAGCACATACAATTGCTCAAAAAGCCATTAACCGTGTCATGCAGTAACTGCAAATGAAAAATGTCATCTCCAAGTGATGAATGGCTTGCTTTCAAACACTGTTTTTCCCCAGAAATCTAATAGCAGAATCCTCGGAAACAACGTTCCCTTGGTCAAAGACATTTGTTTCCACAGTATTCAGATAATATCTGCTATTTTACTATCATACGTATAAAAAAAAAAAACCAAACATCTCCTTCAAGCTCCACTGACCTGTTGAAGCCCTGAAAACACATCAGTGCTGTATACAAGTCCTACATTGTCCCCATCCCTGTAATATATGATGTAAACACTTGGAGTCCTTCACCCTGTGAACCTGTTTTCCTCGCATCTGCTGATACACTGCTATTTACACAGTTTCCCAGGCTGTACAGGTGAAAGGTGGTTGTCTAATTCAAAAGTTACTGGAGTCCCAGTGGAGAGACATGAACATGAACATGTTCAGCTGCATTCACATCACAAGTCATCCCAACATAATGCAACCACTGCTAAGAAGCATTGTCTTCCTCACAGGAAATGGCCGAGATGAAAGGTAGTCTCTCACAAAAAAAGCTGTGACAAATTCACCTGGAACCAAGGCAAAGCAACTGAAAAGAGTACTTTTATGTTAACAGTGAGGGAAGTCTCAGATAATTTAAATATTCCAGAGATTCACTGAAGTGAGGACGCCTAGCAACTCTATTCAAAATAAATAAAATGCTCATTTAAAGAGCTTCATGTTAATACTCACTTGTGGAATATAGTTCAAACCACAATGGAATTTTGTTTAATTTCTGATATCCATTTCTGTTTCTAAGCAATACAAAAAGCATACCCAGGGAAAAGTTACAATGAAAATAAAAAGGTACAGATTAAAGTAATTAAATTATGTAGAAATTTCGATGCCGGCAGAGAAATATTTAAAAAAAAAAAGAAAAGAAAAAACTCAGACAAATTCAGTTCCCAAGCAATTGATTCTGCTCTGAAGCTGTGCCTCAGTGCATGGAAAACCCCATAGAATGGGGCCACATGGTCACAGCAGGGACAGATTAAGATAAAGCAAAGCCAGGTTGTTTGGAACAGGAAGAAGGCAGAAGGCTTCATTGGCATATATTGTATGTATATTATGTTCATTGGTATACATTGTATGTATATGTTTATACATTCCTCCTATATAAAGAGTTGAGAAAATGACTCCAAAATTCCAAAGAAATACACACATAACAGCTTCCTGCACCTATCTCAAATATACCTCCTACCTACCACCCTTGGACTCAAACCCACATTAATCTTCAAGGTCTGCTCTTCCAACTGTGCTCACCTATTCTGCTTTCCAGGCTCTGGGACAACAAACACTCGAGTGTGCTCATCCCTGGTATGAGGGAAGTTTGATTAGAAGGCAGAGTAAATGTAGGCAAGACAATAGCAATAAAGAACTGAGAAACAAAGTGCTCAGTCACAGCACAATCCTGCACTGCAGATGTGTTCAGCCCTCATTCTATCAAACAGATTCCCACCCCACAAGGCCAAACATCTTACTAGTAGGCAGTACTTAATCATCAGATATGAAATTCATCCCTCTGGATATGGAGATTTAGAGAGAGCATTATGTAACAAGCTCATGTTTTGCAGACTGGCAAACAACTAGATAGCTGCACCATCACTATGAAAACTGTTTAATAAGATCCTTCATACCTACTGTCTTTCCACTCTAACCCATACAGCTACAAGACATAATTCACATAGAATTTTGGTTAAATAAGCATTTCTCCCTCCCTAAAGAACTTAAGATTTCACCTACCTCTCTCATCTCATGGCTGGGCTTCGCGAACAAAGATTTGGGAATTTCACCTACCATGAAATCTATAAAAGTCAAACATGCTAATAAGCATTTCTTAAGTCCTGAAGTCAGCTTAGAAATCATTTCAAATGTTTAAGCATGCTGATATTGTCTGGAAATCATACCACACCTTCAACCTTACAAACCACATTCCTTAGACCTTACTCAGGTCTATGAACAGCAACTCTCATTGCAACTCTCACCTTCCAGAACTTCACTATAATTGCTTAGATGCAAAACAGAAACATGGAGAAACCTGGATGTAATTGCATTTGGGTAATGACTTATATTAAAGATACACAGGAAAACAAATAGCAAAAAGCTAACTATTGATATGACAGAAACATAGAAAGGTTTGGGTTGAAAGGGACCTTAAATTTCATCTATTTCCAACCCTCCTGCCATTGGCACTTTCCACTAGACCAGGTTGCTCAGAGCCACATCCAGCCTGGCCTCTGACACTTCCAGGAACGGGACATTCGCAATTTCTCTGTCAACCTGTTCCAGTGCCTCACCAACCTTGTAGTGAAGAATTTCTTCCTAATATCGAATCTAAATAGACCCTCTTTCAGCTTAAAGCCATTACCCCTCACCCTACCAGTACATGTCCTTATCAAAAGTCCCTCTCCAGCTCTCTCGTAACCCAATTTAGGTACTGGGAGGAGTTCTAAGGTCTCTGTGGAGCTTTCTATCCTCCAGGTTGAACAACCTCAGCTCTCTCAGCCTGTCTTCACAGGAGAGGTGTCCAGCCTTCTGATCAACTTTAGAGGCTCCCCTGCATTCACTCCAGCAGGTCCATGTCCTTCTTATGTTTGGGGACTCCAGAACTGGACACAGCACTTCAGGTGTGGTCTCAACAGAGTGGAGTAGAGGTTCACAAACACCTCCCTCGATCTGCTGCCCACGGTGCTTTTGATGCAGCCCAGGACATAGTTGGCTTTCTAGGCTGCCAGAGCACATTGCCAGGTCTTGTTGAGCTTTTCCTCAACCAACACCGCCAAGTCCTTTTCCTCAGGGCTGCTCTCAATATTATAAAGCCCTTTTACATCAAGAAAGTTAGGGGACTGAAGGAAAGAGAGAATACAGGAGAGCATGTGCTCAGAGATGATGCAGTTTTCCTGATTATATGCCTAATCAAAGGGTTCATTATGATCACCTGTTGTGGCCTCCCTGCATATAGCCCATAAGATTTCCCCATTTCTGTTAAAAATAAATCTGCCTTTAGAAAAAACATCCCTGGTTTAAAGTGTTTTTAATGATGAAAAACCTTTAAGAACTTATTAGTCTAATGAGTGCTTTTATTTTAAAAAACTGCACACTCTGACTAGTCTCAGGATGTTTAACTTCAAATTTCCAACACTGGCTGTTGTTAACCCTTTTCTTTCTTGAGTAAAGAAGCCATTCCTCACCTCAGCAATGATCCAACCACTTCTTTCTTTTAGATCCACTCAATAAAAGGTGCCTTTTCAGCAAGAAGCTTTTAAATGTTTAATGGGCTGCACCTGGAGCACAAATCTCTCAGCTGAAGCATAGAGCAAAACAGTAATAGTTGTGCACTTCACAGGTGATTGTCCCGCTTGCTCCTGTATCTTCTCACATTCGCTTAAAGGGCTATTTCCCTGGCTGACTGCTCATCAAACACTCCCCTCCTCCCACAAGGCTTTCCAAAAATCACTAACTCTGGGTGTGGAGAGTCACCAGCTTACGCTGACTCCACAATTGGTATGCTGAAATAAGTGTTGGTTAGTTGCACTCAGTAGCTATTAAGTATCCAAAACTACTTTATGTAAGTGGTTCTCATCCTCTATCATTTACTCATTTCTTTGTATAGTCACACAATAAAATTGAAGTTATACGTTATCGTATTTAAGAATAAGTAGACTATATTTTTAAAAGCAAAAAGGTGGAAGAAAAATTTAGGCAGCACACGACAAGAGCTGATCTTCACTTGAGCGCCACAGAGCCGCTCACCTGCTCAGTGATGACAGGGACAACTGAGCGCCTTCGCATCCCTCCCACGGCACAAACATCACAGACGGCATCCCTGGCGGGCAAGATCCACCACCTTCGATTTTCATAGTAACGCACGGTAGAAAGCATTAAAAAATAAACCCCAACCCAATATACAAGCACCTCCTCCCGTCGGGTTATTAACGCCAGAAGCACCCGGTCTCCGTATGGGAAGTTGGGGCCAGCGCAGCCCTCTCTCCCCGCTCCCGGCGGGGCGCCCGCGGGAGGCTCTCTACCAGGACGGGTCCTTCTCTCAGCGAAAAGGAAAGAAGGAATAAAAAAGAACAAAATCAGAAAAAAACCCCAAGCCAGTTGCTGTTAAGAACGATGGACTCACCAAGAACCTCGGCAGGAGACGAAGAGCACGTACAAGCAGCAGCATCCCCGCCGCCGCCAAGGGCTGCCGATGCCAACTCCGCAGCCCGGTGGAGCTGGGAGGTTGAAGTCCCGCTCCCGGTGCCGCGGGCTCGGCTCCTGGCTCGGGCAGGGAGCGAACACACCGCACCGAGCCCGCACAGCCCTGCACTGACACTCACCCGGGGCACGGGCAGGCTCGCAGTGACGCCCGCAGGTGCAGCCCTCTGACAGCCAACCTCGCCTCCTCCCGCAGCCCCGCGCTCCCGCTGTGCCCGGCAAGGGCTGGAGCCGCCCGGGTGTGGCTCCCGCCCGGCCGTCCCCGTCGGGAGGGGACCCGGGTCCCCCCGAACCTCTCCAGCTGCTGGGTGAGCCCTACCGAGCTCTGGCAGCGCCCCACCCGCCGCCCCGCAGCGCCTCTCGCCGGCGGGAATCGTGCTGGGATACGGGGCGGGAGCTGGGAATGCCGCCGTCCCGACCTGCGGAGAGCGGGGCGGAGCAGCCGGCGGAGCGGGGCCGGGTGGGAGTGCCTCCACAGCGACCCTGCTTCCCCTTTTCCCCTCTCCTCCTTTTTCCTTCTCCTCCTTCTCCCGCTCCCCCTTCTCTCCCGGGGTGCGGGGCTGCCGCCCCGGGTACCACCGCCGCCCCGTGCCGGGGAGCCGGAGGGGACCCAGTCGCCAGTGCAGGCCTCCCCTTCCTTCCGACGGGGCTGGGAAGGGTGCACATCCCGTTAATGTTATCTCCTCGTTAATATTATCTCCTCGTTTTCAGTGGTGTTTTAGTAGCGTGGAGCTGTTAGTTCAAGGCGCGATTCAGTGATTCTTTTCAGGATCGGTCTGGAAAGGGAAAAGGTGTTAACAGGTTTAATGGTTTTTCAGCCATTAGTAAATAGTAGCTGAATCTGTTCTGTGCACTGGGTGAGAGAAGCATCGAAAAAGTAAACCAGTATTTTAGAGTATAATAAAAGGCACTTGTCATAGCTGTCCTCCTTACACCTGTGTACAACACTTCTGAACTTTTATGGCTATCACTTTCAATGCTTCAAGTGAGCTGGATTTATCAAACAGACACAAGTATTACAAAATGTTCAAAATTTCAAAAGTAATGAAGCAAAAAACCAGCATCTCGATTCATCCAGATAAATTGAATGATTCATTTACCCTCATAATCACCCTCAGGTACCTGAAGAGCTCACATAGCAGGCATCCAAGAAAGATAGGGAAACTAATTTAGCACTCGTGCATTTCCTAACATGCTAAAATACTATTTTGAAACTGGTGCAACAAACAGAGGTAGGCCACATGAAAATACTTAAGAGATTTTCTGTCTCACAGCTGTGAAATTTTATCACTTTCAAAAAATTCCGATGCGTACAACCAAAATCTACTGCTCAGATTCCACATATGAAATCTTAGCATAAAATTTGCGGTTTATACACAATAGAAATGTGACATTACTCGTTACCTTCAAATTCCTAGTGCTGTTTTTAAATAACTGCAGTGCTTGTGTTATTCCAAATGATGTGTGTGTTGGGAATTTTATTCTTTGGAGGTACAATGTTTACTTGGCAAGTATATAAATACAACCCCTTTGAAGGATAATTTGAGTTTGCTACACGTTATACTTACAATATCTGTGACTCACAGGTGCTCTGACTTGTTCAGGAAAAGCTGTTGAAGGAATCTGCTCTAAATTAAATGCCTAGGTATGTCATTTGCCTGCAATTACCAGAAGAATGCATTTCTCTCTATAACAGTGTGAATCATTATCAATAAAGCTACATAAGTGAATATATTCCATAATACATTATTTAATTTTAAGTATTAAAACATCAGCTTCATATTTATGTGGGTTTTTTTAGAGTTTCATCTTATAAATGCTGTTGGGGGGGGGCTTATGAAGAGAAGGGCTAATAGCATTTGTACAGCAGCTCAAGAGCTCAGGTACAGCATCACCAGCCAGATGCCCAAGTACAAGGAGAATTTCTGAGAAACACCACAGACCTTTTCTGTTTCTGTCAGGACAGAAAGCAGCTGCCCTTAGAGACTGAAGGCCCCATATTATTTTGGTAGCACAGCCCATACAAGCCCGTACTTATTAAGCACCCTTTGTGATCCATAACAGACCACATGAACTAAGGGCTTTGTAAACCAGGATTACAGAAATCTGTGGCCTATTTAAAACAAAGGTAAAGTGTTCTTGCTGTTATTTCTTTGGTGACTTCAATCTGCATCAGTAACTCTTGCATCACTGCAAAAATTAGCTAAATATGGTCCCAGACTGCAGCTTTATTGGGAATTAATTGCAGTACTTGTGGCCCTTTTCCAGAGTGCTATGACAACCCTCTTGTCCTCTGGAACATCAGTTGTGCAATCAGTTTTCTTTTCTGAATACTGAACTGCTAACTCCATTCCCCAGAAATCAAGGAACAAACATTTATTGATATCCTGGTTCCCACAGCCACAACTTCTTCCAAACATGAAGAACTTGTGCAAATCACAGAGTTTATGTCAATAACATTAATGAACAAAACCTAGTTTGCTTTCATTTCGGGTAGCATTAGAGTACTCTGCAGGCTTTTATTTCTCCTCACCTTAATCTAATCTACCAGTAAACACCAGAAAACTAGGCCATTGATGCAATTTTCTAAACTAAAAGGTTTTGGATAAGAAATCACGTGGCATGAAACAGAAAAGACATTTTTAATAAACACCCATAGTTGTTAACAGTGAAACCTGCTGTGGGATAAGTATTTACATTTCTCTCCTGAAAAGCACAGGTGCTAGGAGCAGAGTTTGAGAACAAAATTAAAAAAAAAAAAGATAAGCTTTTTTCAGGAAGCTGAGATATGCAAGTTCTCATTGTCCGGTTGAACACTCCCTGGGCTATTTTCCAAAAGTGTAATTGCAGCCATCATGGAGAGAGAGGAGCCTTTTGCCAGCTCTTAGTGCTCAAGGTTTTGAGCTATCACTTCGTGGAGGTATTCATAAAAAAACCAGAGAGTTCAGTATTACCTTTTTTGGGTCAAAAGGTATAGAAGCTACTTCAATATGGGTGTCCTATTTCTGTGTATTTTTTTCAGTGGTTTGAGATCTTGTATGTTCTGCATTTTAAATTAAGAACTTTTTGGCATTTCTGTAAAAAGGCTCCCTGTTAAAATTTTAATGTGGCTTGTGCTGCTAATGTGCTTCTCTCCACTTCCAGCCAAAAGGGGGAAAAACTCAAATTTATCTTTTGAAAAAATGCCTGCTTTGATACACTAATGAATAAAAGGGGAAATCAACATTTCGAGAAGAAATACAGTAACTGCTGCCAAGGCAATAGTACTGCATTTCTTTAAACCATTCACCAGTTCACCCAGAGTTCCTTCTTGAAAGAAGCCAGATTTATTAATTCAATGTTATTATGCCTGCTGTTTTAATTTTATTTAAGGATACATTTAATTTCATTTGAGACTGTTCCTTCACAATTCCTGCTTGATTGAGTGTGTGACATATGGGGTTTGTTGGAATTCGACAAAGCCCTGAATACGTTTTTTTTTGGTGTACATCATAAATGTTCAAGAGATAATGCAACCAAGGAGCCACAGGATCCAGACCCACCTGCTTTTCTTAGGACTTGGATTTTGTGTTTGAAACAATGGCACTGGGCTGCAAGTCAGAGGCTCTTATCCCTGAGTGTACTTGCCCCATTGTTTTTATTATGTGACATGAGGAGATTTTCTTATTACAAAGCCAAGAAGTTTATCTCTGAGAAAAGAGAGATATTTTTCAAGCTTTATTCCAGTTATTCACTGTCATCTCAGCCTTCTCTTCCTCTCCATAGTAAATAAGCATTGTCAAAACCAGGACGCAGAAAATGTTCTATAAGAAGAATGAAGCCTTCTCTTGTACAACAGGGCATCACTTTAAAAAGGCTTTTCTTAATGTTAGTTACTACATGAACAGAAAAATGACACGTCACAGGCTTAGAAATGAAAAAGGGGGAACTGATGTCATTAGCTGTTCTAAGACAAGGCCATTTCTGTTTCAGCCACTGAAAAGATTTAGAAAAGCAGGTATTTACAAAAAGCTTTTCAGAGTAATTACAGCATCTCCTGTTCTTTTTAAAGGAGATGTTGAAAGCAGACTCAGAGATATATCAAATGCAGCAAGACATTTGTTCTCCTCTTTCTCACATCCTAAAATGAGGGATCTATTTATTTTCTCCTGCTTTTCTTAAGTACATTTAAAAGAAAAAAAATAAGACAATGCACTAATTGGTGCCTCACTGTGCTCTGTTAAGCCAGTATTTAAATTACTGCCTAGAATGAACTCAGATAAGCTAAGGGAATGCTCTTACAGACCCCATTACTGTATGTACTATTTATTTAGACAATTATTTTGGTGTCAGCTATGCCATTCTTTACACAAGCAAGAACTATGCAAAATGAGTTAAAGCTGTAGAATGAAATGCTGCATAAAGAAGTGTTCAGTTAACATCCAGGTGCCGGGTGTTCCACCTTGAAAAATATTTCTCAAGGTAGCACTGGAGGAACCATTGAAATAACTTGAACATTTATGATGCACCTGCAAACCATAACTGCAACTCATACATATAATTTCATCCTGAATGTACCAAGGTACTTTTTAGAATTACAATTTTACTTCAAAATAGCTAGGTACAATTCTACCAACTAGCAAATTAATTTGTAAAATAATTGTATTTTTTCACAAATATTTTATTGCAAATAATTTTAATGGTCTCTAAAAAATTCAGAAATGTTTAATGAAACCAGTTGATTTCCTGCATACAAAATTTGTAAGGTTCATGAAGAGTATAGTTTAAATCATCTAAATGTTAGTTATCTTCTAACTAATTGTTAATTGACAAGATTTAAGACTTTTAAGAAGATGCAGAGGAAAAAACCCAAACACTCCTAAAATTCCACACAGTAGAGAATGAACAGCAACAGTCTTCTTCTAGGTGTTTCATTATTTTTTCTTACACTTAACCTCAACATTTTTGCTGGACCTGTGAAGAGTTGTGCCATTTCTTAAGAAAAACCTCCCTAAAACTCTGCAAGTGACTGCAGTCACTTTGTCTGAAAATGCATACATAGAGCCTGTCAATAATATGTGGCTTGCAAAAATTTCTAGGGTTTCAGGCAAAACTCCTCCTCTGTTTGCCACCTCTAAGCTGCTCTAAGGTCAAGATATTTCACCAGTCTTTGCAATATTCTGATTCACTGAAACACTTCGATATACATAAACCAGAAAATAAACCTATAAAACTATAGGGTTCATCATGCACTGGATTAACAAAACATATCAACTTGTTGAAACTCAGATTGGTCTATACAGCTATTCTGCTCCATGCAAAGACCTTGTTAAC